TAAGCATTTTCAATTTAAATTAATTTGTCAAATTATAAATATTACTTAATATTTTATTAAATTAATTTATTTAATTATTTAAATAATTGAAGAATTGAACTATCGGATTTAAGGGAACCATGACCAGTTCATTAGTTCTTCGATTGAACCAGCGATTATGGCCGGTTCAGCCCGATTTGATATAGAAACTATTTTTAGGATGAACCAGACTGGCCTTAAAACCGATTCGCCTTAAAACCGATTCAAGGTTGAATCGATTGAACCGGCTAATTCGGTCTGAGTTTAAAACCCTGCTTAAAACAATCATCTACAACCTCAATCATGATGTGACGATGCTATGTTTCTTATATATACATGGAATCCATTCTCAACATGCACGCGAACATCGATCACGATGTCATCCCTAAATTCAGTAACATGTATATAAATACCTAATCAATTCTTCTTATAGAGAAGCAATTCACCAATGACGAACTAACTCAATACTTGCATAAAGCCACAAATAATACAGAAAGTAGGCTTTAATATATACTCGACCCATGATCCTGCCTTAACATCTCATCAAGTCACCTAAAAGAAAGTTAATCGCATGTAATACTTGTATACCGACAAAGGCGATTCATATGGAGAACTCAACAACTCGTCTTAGAGTAGTCATCTATTGACTATGGGTTCTCACTAGATGAACTCATTAGTAGTACTCACAATCAACTTGGAATTTGCTCAAACCTTATGCTAGATGGACAATTGCCAATAATAACAATATATTACACATCAACTTATATCAAATTCAATATTATTACTTTTTTTTCCTATTTTTGCAATGTAAGATTCTTATATCACTAACCATAACTCTCGCCTTCAAAAAAGGAATCAAAACTTAGTTGGCATGATGCAAATCGATACCATGCTCAAACTCTATTCAACGTAAATCGCAAATTCTCATTTTATATGGATTTGGTTAACTTAGGTTTCGTTTGGGGCAACTTTCTCACTGCTTTTTAAAACGGGTTTCTAGTAAAAAACTTATAATTTAAAAAATATATACATACTAAAAATTGGTTTTAAAAAGTAATAAAAAAAAATTGTTTCGAACGAATCCTTAGTCAATAAAACTCAAATTAATCAAGGTGTTGTTCGGTTGCAAGCATTATCAGTATAAATTAAAATAAATGCATGACTTCTAATTTCTTATATTTGTTTTGAAGAAAATCAAGTAGATAGTATTTGTTAAAAAATTTCAAAAATAACTCATAATATCTACTATTTTGGGCGAATTCATAATTCATCAAACTTTTGTGATCTTCAAATCCATGGAAAACTCACCTCCCGCAATCTCACCATCCCATTGCATCCATCGATCGTCGACATCCACAGTCATCCATCGCTCAACATCTTTCACCATCTGAAGCAAATCATAACAAATACAAAACCTATTTAATACATTTGCATCGAATCAAACTACTAATACATTTGCATAATGTATATGTTCAAATTACTCTATTTTTCTAAATACATATATATATTTTAATAATAACATCCAACCAAATATAGTTATAAAAAACTCCAAAATCTATTCTATTTTCTCTCTCTTCCCCATACAATATTAAACAGTATATAAATAACATAATCATAATTAATATTTAATTCCATATTTTTAAGTTGACTCTGAATAAAATAATTCGTCAACTTATGGAGCATTGTAGCTCGAAACTTCCTTGTACGGTAAAGAATACTATGTGGAACTCTCAGCTGCGAAGCCATGTTATCTATCCTGTTTATCACCGTTGGATCTGCCTCAAGATCGCGTTTTGATGAGAGAGAGTTTTGCGGGACTGGCCTTGTGAGAATCTTAAGGAATTTCAAAGGTTGTTAGGGGTGGTAACTTTTTAAATGTTATATAAATTTGCGTACGATGAAGGAGCTGGACTTCCACGTGTCATCGCGTCGCGTCCGGACGTTGGATAAAATCCGAACAGAGTTTTTTTTTTTTAATTTAATTTTCGTCACTGAGTGGTAGCCATCGGCACTTGTGGGCCCCACCATAAACTCCGGTGGGTCCTAACTCCACCCGCTCTGGTCCTCCGGCGTTCTTTGAGAAAGAGAAAGAGGGAGGAGAGGATTTATGAGACGGAGGTGGTGGCGATGGGCGCGGTGACTTCGACGATCGCGGCGAAGTTCGCCTTCTTCCCGCCGAGTCCGCCTTCATACACGGTGGTGGCCTGCGTGGGAGGCGGCGGGGGGCTTACGATACCGGAGATCTCACCGGCGGCGAGTGAGGGGGTGGACGTGCTTCGCCTGAGGACGCGGAGGGGAAACGATATCGTCGCTATGTATGTCAAGAATCCTAGGGCTGGAGCCACCCTCCTCTACTCACACGGCAACGCAGCGGATCTTGGCCAGATGTTCTCTCTCTTCGTCGAGCTCAGCGCCCGTCTTCGCATCAATTTAATGGGGTAATTCACCGTCTTATTCCTTTTTAAACTATCGAGTCCTTGTTTTTTTGGGCGTGGTAGATTGCTTAACTTACAAAAAGTATATGAAATTGTTCCGCAAATTTATAAGTAGTTATCGGCTTATGGCATATAGATCTTGCAGCTGAGTAGGGAGTAATTGAGATTGAGATTGATATTGCCTAAAGTGTACCTTCCAGTATTTTCGTACCTACTAAAGGGAAACGAAGCAGATTTAATCTAGATGCTTTGAATTATTCTGCCGAAAATACTTGCATGTGTAAGTTGATTTTGGAGTTTTGTTTTAGTTGGACAGTTGGGCTCAGGTTCCTGCGAGTGAATATTGGTTCAGTGGCTGCGGGCAAACCTTTTTGCTGGGTTTTCCAACGTTTTTTCTTGCTCTTTTTCAAGAGTAATTAGTATAATTTTGTTTGTTGTTTACTTTTATTCTATTAATCACACCAGTAAAGTAGATTCACATTCTTCTTTGATTTCAACTTGACAGCGGACACTTGCAATGAATATCTGTAACAATGATATCTGGTACATGCTTAAAGTTCCCTTTTGATGCATCCTGGAACAGAGTTCATTTTATGGCAATGCAAAGGACACTCAAAAGTGTGGAGGCTTCAGTGCAAACCTGTTTAAAAAAATTCAGTAGTTTAGTGTGAAGATGTTACATTTTGATGGAAGCAACAAAACAGAGCAAAGAAAAATTGAAGAAGAAAAATCACTCTAAATAAAACTCTGTTCTTGGATTTTCACGGGCACGGAACAAAAAAAAAAAATCAAAGCACACAACTTCTGTCTTTTTCTGAAAAGCAAAAAAACTAAAAACCTTTGTCTTTCACAGGATAACTTAAACAGAGAAAACATAAAAACCATTTTTTTTTTAAACTGTCTAATAAAACACATAAAAGAAAATTAAAGCAAAAGACGCGTCGTTTGGTTTGATAATATCCAACAATCTCCCCCTCAAACCAAAACTTTCTTCATCCCAAGCATCTTCAATAGCTTTAGGAACCTCGATGTCGGCAATGCTTTGGTGAACAAATCAGCTACTTGATCTTTTGTACTACAGTGCTCTATACTAATGTGACCCATCTTTACTGCATCTCTGATAAAGTGATAACGCACATCAATATGCTTACTCCTGCCATCTTGTCCACATAAATTGTTGTAGCTTCATCAGTCTCTCCAAAAAATTCCTTCAACAAATTCTTCAACCACATTGCTTCACAAGCCGCCGCCGCTGCTGCTATATATTCTGCCTCACATGTAGATAATGCTACAACTTTCTGCTTCTGTGTGCACCAAGTAAAAGCTGTATCACCAACATAAAATTCATATCCACTTGTGCTCTTTCTTTCCTCATGATCATTTGCCCAATCACTGTCACAATATCCAAGTAATCTCATATCTCCACTACACTGATAATGAAGGCCAAACTCAAATGTGCCACTGATGTATCTAAGAATCCTCTTCGCTGCAAGCCAATGAGACTCCCTTGAATTCTCCATGAATCTGCTCAAAATGCCCACACTATAAACAATGTCAGGTCTCGTCACTGTCAAGTATCTGAGGCTCCCAATCAAACTTTTGTATAATGTCGGATCAACCAAATTTCCTTCTCCTTCTTTTGTGAAATGAACTCCAATTTGCATTGGTGTAGACACACTATTGCAATTATTCATCCTGAACTTCTCAAGCAACTCTTTAGCATACCTCTTTTGACATATCCAAATGCCATCATCTTTCTGATGCACTTCTATACCCAAAAATAATGACATGAGGCCAACATCTGTCATATCAAATCTTCTGAACATAGTTGATTTAAAGTCTGCAATCATCTTCTCATCATCACCTGTTATAAGCAAATCATCCACATATAAGCATATAATCAACATGTTGTCATTTGAGTCTGTCTTCATATACACACCATGTTCATAAGGGCATTTAGTGAAGCCTTCTTCACCAAAATGCTTATCAATGCATAGGTTCCAAGCCCTCGGGGCTTGCTTCAAGCCATACAATGCCTTTTTCAAACGATAAATCATATGCTCTTTTCCCTTCACAATAAAACCTTCAGGCTGATCTACATATACTTCTTCCTCCAAAACACCATTCAAGAAAGCCGACTTCACATCTAATTAATGAATCTTCCATTTATTCATAGCTGCAATAGAAAAAATTAATCTGATTGTATCAAATTTGGCAACTGGTGCAAAAACTTCTTCATAATCTATCCCTTGCTTCTGCTTGTACCCTTTGACTACAAGTCTAGCCTTGAATTTGTTTACACCTCCTTCAACATTTTTCTTCAATTTGTACGCCCACTTGACACCAATGGATTTTTGACCTTTAGGAATTGAGGTCAAACTCCATGTGTCATTTCTCTCAATAGCATCAATCTCCTCTTTCATGGCATCAATCCATCTCTTATCTGCAACTGCATCATTAAAAGTTAATGGCTCTTCATCTACATAGAAAACAAATTGAGATAACTCCTCATTATAATTTGTGGTGTCATATATCTCCTGCAAGCTTCTTGTCTTCACCTTTTCAATACCACTCCTGGATGATTCTCCCAATCTCACTATAGTGTGTGGTGGCCTTTGTTGCTCTACATCATCAATAATTTTTTGTGAATTTCCCCCAACTGTGACATCCTCCTTGTTGCCTTTTTCAAGCCAATCCCAAGATAAGCTTTCCTCAAATCTCACATCCCTGCTCACTACCACTTTCTTTGTTGTAGGATTATACAGTTTATAGGCTTTGGACCTTTTACTGTATCCTACAAACACACACTTCTTAGATTTTTCATCCAACTTTCTTCTCTTTTGATCAGGTACATGAACATAAGAAATGCTCCAAAAAACTCTCAAGTGATCAATAACAGGCTTATGACCACTCCAAATTTCAAAAGGGGTTTGAGATGGAGTACTTTTTGATGTCACCCTATTCAACAAGTACACAACACAAGACACAGCTTTAGCCCAAAGCAAATTGGGCATTTGCCTCTCCTTCAACATACTCCTAGCCAATCCCATAATGGTTCTATTCAACCTCTCTGCTACCCCATTTTGTTGTGGTGTGTATCTAGTTGTTAACTGATGGCGTATCCCATTCTCCTTCAAATAATTTTGCATCTCATGACTAACATACTCTCCACCTCTATCACTCCTCAACATCTTAATAAAATGGCCACTCTCCTTCTCCATAAGTGTTTTGAATATTTTTAAGTATTCAAATACTTGTGACTTCTCTTTCAAAAAATATACCCAGACTTTTCTGCTATAATCATCAATAAATGTGAGAAAATAACAATTACCTCCAATAGAAGTAGTGTGCATCGGTCCACATAAATCTGAATGAATAAGCTCTAATGGCTTCAAGGCTCTCCATGATTTTCCAACTGAAAATGGTGCTCTGCTCTGCTTTCCTGCAACACATGCTTCACAGATCTTGTCTTGAACTTCAATATGTGGAAGCCCATCAACTATATTCTTCTGGCTCATATAAGAAAGTGTCTTGGAACTCAAGTGACCAAATCTACAATGCCATAATCGTAAATGATTTTCTATGGAAGTTTTCAAACAACCATTTAAACTGCAAATCATCTTCATGGGATACATTTTATTTGGAGTCACCTTCACCTTGGTAATCAAGAATCCATGCTTGTCTTTAATGGTACAAGTGTCAAAAGAAAATGTCAACACATATCCCTTTTGATTTAGTTGTCCAACACAAAGCAAATTATGCTTAAGATTTGGAAAATAGAAGACATCTGGTATCTTCTTTTCCCCCTTCCTTGTTTGCACCAAAATGTCACATTTTCCTTCCATAAATAATTTGTTGTCATCTCCCGTACGTACTTCACTTTGGATTGAGTTATTCAAAGTAACAGACAATCTTCTATTGCCAGTCATGTGATTACTACAGCCACTATCAATAAACTATACATCTCCTGAATTACCATATTCCTTACTATGTGTAAGAAATATTGTGTCTTCACTTTTCTCCACTTCCTTTTCTTGCACCATATCTACATTTGCCTCTTCATTTTCCTGCCTCTTCCAACAAAAACGATAAAAGTGTCCGTACCTTTTGCAATAGTGACATTTGATATTGGCAAGGTTGCTTCTTCCTCTACCTCTGAAGCCATGTCCACGACCACGTGCACCTTCTCCATCACCATGAGTTCCACCTTGAACTTCACCTCCATCACTTTGTGTAGATTCTCCTCTACCAGCACGGCCTCTTCCACGAGTACCATAAGAGCCTCTTCCTCTACCAAAAGAGCCTCTTCCTCTACCAAAACCTCTTCCACGGCCACCTTTGAAATTCCCACGCAATGCCACTTGAGTTTGGAATGCTTCCTCAAGTGGTGTCGAATCATATTGCTTCATTCTTAATTCATGGGATTGTAGAGATCCAAGCAAACCTTCAATAGACATTTGCTCTATGTTCTTCGCTTCTTCTATGGCTACCACCGTGGCTTCAAATTTTCTGGTCAAGCTTTGTAGAATCTTCTCAATAACCCTTTTATCTTCTACAAATTCTCCATTCAATTTCAATTGGTTAACAATGGTGATTACCCGATTGAAATATTCTTCCACACTTTCTGACTCCTTCATCTTCAACATATCAAATTGGCTTCGTAGGGTTTGTAAACGTACCATTTTTACTTTATCATCTCCTTTGTAAGAAGCATGCAGTGTATCCCAAGCCTCCTTCGCGGTCTTCGCCGTAGAGATCCGCTCAAAAATAATTTCATCTACCGCTTGATAGATGAAGAAAAGGGCCTTCCGATCCTTCTTCCGATTTTCTTTCAACTCTTGAAGAAGTCTCTGATTCAAATCTCTCTCAACTTCGGGCTCCTGAAAACCGCTCTCAACAATCTCCCACAACTCTTGAGATTGATACAACACCCGCATTTGAATACTCCATTGATTGTAGTTCTTCCCCGTGAACTTGGGCAACTGAGGTTGCAAATTATTGTTGCTTGAACTCGCTGCCATTCTCCAACCGTGGCTCTGATACCAATGATGGAAGCAACAAAACAGAGCAAAGAAAAATTGAAGAAGAAAAATCACTCTAAATAAAACTCTGTTCTTGGATTTTCACGGGCACGGAACAAAAAAAAAATCAGAGCACACAACTTCTGTCTTTTTCTGAAAAGCAAAAAAACTAAAAACCTTTGTCTTTCACGGGATAACTTAAACAGAGAAAACATAAAAACCATTTTTTTTAAACTGTCTAATAAAACACATAAAAGAAAATTAAAGCAAAAGACGCGTCGTTTGGTTTGATAATATCCAACACATTTGTCATCTGTTTTCTAATCTTTAAATGTTGAGCAAATAAATTAGAAAGTTTTAGTTATTTTCAGAGATCTAATTTGAATTTTATTCAAAAAACTGCTTTTTTATTTTTAAAACTAGTTTCATTTAATGAGCAAGGTTTGACATATGACGTTCTCTAAACTACAACTCCTTATATCCAAATGTTTAAGATAATGCTCCGGTGTTTGGTGTTTATTTTAGCTTTGCACATATTGCGTCTTGAAAGAATGTGAGCAGTACAAAATCATTAAGTTTGAGCTGTGTCAAAATTCATTTGTCTTGAGGAAACAGGTGAAAGGATCTGAGAGAAATGAAAAAAGAAGAATGAGAAGCTCAAGATATATTTTTATTGAAACTTTATTAGAACTCAAGAAAACTACTTTGTTGAGCTTGGTTTTTTATTGAAACTTTTATTTTAGTTGTTTTTATCTATGCATCGACCTATTATTTTTTCCCAAGCAATGTCCATAGTGTAGCATAGCATACTTCCTTCGTCTGCATAGGAAAGCAAATTAATGTGTGCTTTTTGCACTATAATGCATAGCGCATATTGAGCCCATTACAAAGCTTGTACGCTCTCTTTTTTTCTATAAATTGATTATTCATAATCTTTTCTTCCAACTATTTTCATGCGTTATAAATTTATCATGGACTATATCACTCATGGCTTTTCATTTTTTCTTTACTTTTTATAAGAATTAGACATATAATGTAGTTAACAAAATAATAGCTTTACTCATCAAGTTCACATTTTTTTGTGTGCTTAATACCAATTGTATGTTTATCACTTTTCACTCATAAATATTTTAAGAACTACCAATAGAATCATCTAATTATACTAATCTAATGCTAGAGGCCTAGATTACATCTGTCATACTTCATATTTATTATCAGAGCATTTACATTTCCTCAAGAACATCTTATTGTGTGTTTGTCCAAGGTGCATTTTTTGTACTAGATTGTGTTTTAGGTTCATAGGAACTAGCTTGCCATTCCATTATTAAAACTAAGTGCAAGACCATAGATCAGTGATCACTAATTCATTAGGTCATTTATTCACCCATAAAGTTGTGTTTTTAATTTTATTGCATTTGCATGTCTTTCAAATTAAAAATATTTGCTTGCATAAAAATTTGCAATTTTATTTTGTGTGATAGCTCTCAGTAGATTGTCCATATATTTGTTATTTTGTATCTAAATTTTATGTTGGCCTAAGACAGTCTTTGATCATGATGTGAGGTTTATGAGATATTTTTAAAAAAATTTATGTAATACATTTGGTATAAAACTTCTATTTTTCATGGCATATCACCTTCAAACTGACAATTGAACTGAAATTGTTAATAGGAGCATAGGAGACTTACTGAGGTGCTTAGTCATTAGTTGGCTTTTAATTCTTCATACTATAGAGTTTGCCCATAATAGCTCTACTAATAGGTCAACCGATGTTAGTCCTTTTCATATTTTTATCTGGTACGAATAAAAAAAATCAATTGATCTCATTGGCTTGTATGATCATATAGGTCTAGTATATTTGCACCCTCATTCTCACAAAGCATGCATGATTTATATCAAAAAAATCAACAAAATTTACTTTGTATAATGATAAATATTAAATCAATGTTGATGCACATAGATGATATGTAGAATTTAGTGAGGGAGAATTTATTTTAGTTAAATTTAAACCTAAGAGATCTTCAATTGGAAATATTAAGAAGGTTAACCCTCAGGAAATTTGGTCCCTATAGAGCTACGAGGAAGATGAATGATAATGCTTTTGAGATAGATCTTCCAATGATTACTATTATTTCTTCAATATTCAATGTATCAGATTTAATGTTGTACCATGAGCAAGACCCAGATATTATAATTCCATTTGTAAATAATATTAATATGCAGATGGTCAATTTTATAAATTTTAATCTTTATTTTTGAGTTTACAAGTCTTTTGCACAACCTACGGGTGAGAATGATTCAAGTTTGAGTGGGTCGAAACCTACTTGTTGATCGATTTGATTTGATTTCAAGCTAGTTGGCTTAAACCATCTCGATTTTGAGCCAACTCAAAATAATTTTTTTTTCATTTTTTCATTTTAAAAATATTTAATATGCATATATGTATATTTCATAAAATTTATTACTTATGTACACATATATATATGTATATATTAAATTTAAAAATATAATGCTATTTATATTTCAATTCGATTTTAAACTGGCTCAATGTGATCCAAGCCCAGCTCAAAATCAGATCAAAGGTTGTGCCAAGTTGAACTCAATCCATATCAAAAATTAATTCCATCTTCGAGATAAAATATCATCCCTACCAATGATCTACCAGTTTCTCTTGACTTTCTGTTTCAATTAATTCTATATGCTCATTTTATATATTGGTGATCTTTTGCACTCAAATATTTTTGGTCAAACCATATAAGTCTGCTAAATGATCATTAATAGGTACAACACACATCATCTCTAATACAATTACTTCTCGCTCCCTCTTCTCTAATTTTTATGCATTCATCTTAATATTCTCCTACACTTATCTTCTATTCCATGATTTTTTTTACCGCACTTAATTCCATAAATTCTATCTCGTGTTATGGCAGCTCTCCATAACTTACATTTAAGTATCCATCTTGATGTTTTTTTTATCATTTAATAATCCTTTGACTCTAGAATTATGTCCCTATTCGTATTCAGGGTTCCCCATTCTTTACATGGAGTAGATCTAGATTACTTGATCTTATCACATGTCAGGATCACTCGATCTTCCAATACTATTGACTGAACCACCTAAGAGGTGGAAGTTTCTGCTCTATTGATTCCTTCAAAAGCTAGTAACAACTCTTACGCTTCCTCTCTCTCTCTCTCTCTGCTTAAATTTTCTGGCTTATTTTCAGGTAGCTCCACTCTTGAGATAGTAGGCAATCAGTGTTCCATGAGAGCTTGTTGACATTGTTTTAGCAGCTAGAGTAATTAGGGACAGGAAGGAACATTTTTGGGAGCAGCATTAGCTGTTTTGGGTGTCACTCTCCAATAAAAATGTAGGTGAGGACGAGTGGGGGCCAGGTTGTGGTTGTGGGAAATGCAAACTGGTGAATAGCCGAAAGCAAACTTCTGCAGGCTTCTATCTACAGGATTCTAGTTAAGATTGAAATATTGCTAATATTTCAATATTTCAGTGGCCTTCCCATCATGCATTGTTATTTGTCTCAAACCTGTTGATCTTACTTGCATGATTATAGCCTTTTGTTTAATTGATTTGTTGTTAGCTTGTGTATGCCAAGCTGCTATGAAAGGATCAATGTCAAATTGTGTGCGGATTGTTTCTATACAATCTGCGGTGCTTGAGAAACTGAGTTTCAAATGTGAAAAATAAAATTTTGTTCCTTGGTGAAAACTCTTATATTTTCTGGGTTGGCACCCTGGAACTGACGATGCAAGTGTTAGATGTTATATAGTTTGTAAGCAGCCTTTCCCTGACCCAAATCCATAGGATGATCTTATTTTCTCAAAAGAAATGACATAAAAGGTTGCATACGGTGCAAATATAATCAGTGAAAAAGTTAACAGCTTTGTGGTTGTACTCTTGCAGCTGAATGAAGTATTTTTCATCAATTCTAACATTATCCATGTCCGTTCGTTATAGGCTTCATTCGGGACGGCTTTCTTGTTGCTTCTTAAAACAATTTTTTATTACAAAAATTTTAATTATTGAACTAGAAAGGTGATTTAAGAAGCAGGAAGAAAGCCGTCCCAAACAAAGCCATAGTTTCCTTTAAAAATCGGGAGTTCTTGCTATTAAAGAAAGGATATGGATTCAAATAATGTTATTTAGTGAATTCTTAATTCTGCATTTAGTCTTATTGTTGAAGTTCATGCTTGGTACGTGATTTCTGCAGGTATGATTATTCTGGTTATGGGCAATCCTCTGGGAAGGTTCGATCTCTTTTATATCAATTTGTTGAAAACGCTAACTTCTTAAAATTCTTGATTCGTATATCAATGCAGAAGTTTTGGCATTAATGCTGATAGAATATCTTTCTTCTTCATGAAAAAGCCCACCGAATACAATACATATGCAGACATAGAGACTGTCTATGAATGCTTGAAGGAACAGTACAAAGTTGCAGATGAAGATATTATTTTGTATGGTCAATCTGTAGGAAGTGGCCCAACTCTTGATCTGGCATCACGTTTGCCAAACTTAAGGGCTGTTGTGCTTCATAGTCCTATCCTTTCAGGACTCCGAGTATTGTATCCAGTCAAACACACTTACTGGTTTGACATTTACAAGGTGATACCTTTGTTGTTGTGAAATCCTTTCTAATATTAGATAGCTCAGTTATATTATTTTTGGATGATACTTTAATAATTTTGCGCTCCTTGATTTTGCAGAACATCGATAAAATAAACCTGGTGAAATGCCCAGCTTTAGTAATTCATGTAAGCAATCTATTTCTACTAAGATTTATTCCTTACCCCAAATCAATTCATGCTATACATCATCTTTTCTTTCTGAATGATCGCATTGTTATGTATTTCTTGTTTACATGTGCATTATTTAGTTAATGTTTGTTGATATTACAATGACTTTGTAATTAACATTGAATAAATTCTCCATTGTGCCATGAAATGTGAATTAGTGTGCCTTTCCTTTGATTTGATTCTTTAATCCCCCTAAAATAAGGACTATATTTGTGCAAAAATAGGACTCTATTTTTTTATTTTTTATTTTATGTAAATAAGCAAAACTCTGATTGGTTTTAAGAGATACTATAGTCTGAAATGGAGTTTTTTTTAAGTTAGTGTAACAATTGTATTCTTGTGTAGTCTGCAGAGTTCAACAACAACAACAACATCAAGCCTTTGTCCCACTACGTGGGGTCGGCTATATGAATCCTTTTTCGCATAGTCCATGGCAGTATAGTTTGACGGCTGAAATTTTCAGATTAACTAGAGTTTAACCTAATTTATGAACTGTCATTGGGGAATAGGACATGTTTTGAGCGCCTGTTAGAACAATAGTATGGTATGCATATTAATTAAACGGTAAACCTTGCGGATGCCACTATTATTTCTAGAACTAATAGTAGAAAATAAAGCCCCTAAAAAGAAAGGAAAAAGTTTCATTTTGAACATTTTTATGTTTCACTTGGGAAGGGGCCATTTTTCCCTGATTTAGTTCATATAGTATTACTTTTAGGATGAAGATAAAAAGAAGTATAAAATCACTTAGGAAGGAATTTTCTTTCCGTTATTTCCTGTTTGAAATTTGAATAGAACAATATGGGAGCCCATAGGCTGAAGACCTATCCAATTTAATTTGAGAAGCTTCAAAACAGCATTCAATATCTTTGAGTGTAATGATTTAACAAGTGAGAGCCTAGTGGCTCTCACTATAGGATACCAACATGAAGATGTTTAAATGTATGCACATTTGCTCATGTGAAGTTAATATTTTATAACCTCATCTTTTATAATAATGACAACATCGTTAGCATTATTCTAACTGTTTCTAGTCGACTTTTTTCATCCTTCTAGTCGACTTTTTTCATCCATTTATGTTGAGCACTATTAGATGTGTTAAATCATTTTATGCATGTCTCTCATATGAAACAAAGTGTATCTCAAGTTTGTAGCCTCAAAAAATTTGTGACCTGACTCTGCGGAAAGAGTTTTTGGGTTTTTCTAGTTTAAATTTGCAAAATGTAAATTAGGTTTTAAATAAGAAACTACTTATAGGTTTAGCATCATTTTGTATGGATTTATGATTTGATTTTAGATTTCTCATAAGTAGCTCATATAGTTTATTACCCTTATCGATGATGAGAAAAAACTTTTGATTAAGACTAGTTGTTATATAGGCACTAAGTGCTTAGCGAATAATAGCAAGAAATTCTATTTTTGGATTTGAAAATTTATCGCCGTCAACTTAAAAGCGAATGATGAGGGAGATGATGATGAATCTGCTCAAGATTCCGTGGTTCTATCAACTCGGGTTGTGATGGATCCTAGTATATGCTTAGTTAGAGGAGTTAGTTGATCCAATCTAATCAAATGATTATTATTGACAACTATGGGTTGCATCTTCAAAGGGAAACTTATAGACTTGAGGTAAATGTTTATATAAGGAGATAAATTTAGGTTAATTTTAGCTAATTGGGAGTATTGTGTCTCATCAAGTATATCATATGATTCACTACTCATAAGTTTTGGAGCCATAGAAGAACATTCAGGCTATGGCCTTAACTATGATTTAATGGTGTCATTTCGCGATGAAATCACTCGATTAAAGGACCCTGATCATAACTATTATTTAGTAGTGCAATTTGACTGCAAATCCACCTAGTTAGAAGTCACATTTCACGTCTTTGCTAGCGTGAGATTTTTTTAGAGTGATCATAGCAGTGCACTTCTAAGTCATTGGCTTTTTATGAGCTGAAATTATTATTAAACTTGTTAATCATATCAAATTGTCACGAATGATGAATGTACTATTGTTTTTATTTTAAGAACAATAGATTTCACTTAGATATTTTGGATTTTAGGAAATTTTTATATCGTTATATTTTTGCTTAAATTTGAACCAAACTGATTTGCACGAGGATTTGGGGGTATTTTGAAAGATAGAGTACTCTTAGGTTGAAATTTTCTATCAACAAAGTCATCCTTGGGATGTGAATGATTTCACCTTGTTGTTTGAATCTTATCAACTTTGCCTGCTTGCTCATAAAGGATTGGGTTCAAGGATTCACTGTACAAGCTACAATATGAACGTTTAGCCCTAGAGTTTACTTTTTCTAATGAATTTCCTTCAACAAAGGCATTAAAGAGCTAATGTGAACACAAAACAAAAATGTCCGTAGTGATTTTAGATTTGATGTATAGATATTTGTCACAAGGTTCAACTCTAGTCGACTTCATTCTTTGCAAGGAGGACGATGAGACTTGAAATATGGGTCTTATAGCCTTATCTTATGTGGCAGTTCACTCAAGAGCCTCGTGTACTTATTTCGGTGAATTCAATTTCTAGAAGAGATGGTTTACAAATTTTGAAGGAAATTGCTCTTTTCAAAAAAAAAAAAATATTGAGCATGATACTCGAGGTGAAATGAATTTATAAGTAACTTATTTTCATTCCATGTTGCATTCTAAGATGTTAAGTATAAGCATTTAGCATGTTTGTTTGAGTATATGTGAAATGCATTTAGAAATGATTGCATGTTTTACATAGCAATTACACACTCTTTAGAGCGAGACATATTGAGTTCATTTTATTTTTTTTAGCCTGTGCAATATTATGATCTCCAAGTTTTGATATTAGCATACCAGATCATATGCAGGTTATTTTAATTTTGAAAAGAGGTTTGTGAATGTGGGCTCCGAAAATTCGGCCCCGGCCTCTCTGCCGCGCGATTTCTTTTTTATATTTGGCGAGGGAGTTTTAACGAACTAAGTTCCGGGTTAAATTTTGGAAGGCAGATGGGTTTGTAGATAGGACACTACCCAGAGATTTCGCCCTCATTTTGCGAGGACTTTATGATCTGAGTTCTGGTTTCCTATAGGAGCAAGCCCCTATAGTTTTGACTCCCCCTTTTCTCATTCACCGGGGGGAGGATTTTCTGGATTTTGGAGTCAAAGACTGCTGATTTGGAAAGAACTCATTTTAGGCTCTTCGGCATAGTGGACTTGCTATTTCCGGTGTTTGTGGGCACCCGAACTGTTCTCTTCTTAATTATAGAACCAAAAAAAGACTTTGGAACACCAGGAAGTTTGGTTCTAATTTGTTCAAACATTTCCTCCCTTCAGCCAGGGGGTGTCCTTTTACGTACATAGAGTCGCCCTTGTACTCAACGCACTTGTAGATCTTAGTTACCGTCGTTGTAGGCAATATCCGCACTTGTGTCCACAGTGATTCATTGTACTTACAATACACCCACTGTTGTTATCCACGAGTATCCATTTGCAGGGGACCGCTGCATCTACTACGACCTCCTGAAAATGTTTGTAGAAGATCCATTGTTTCTGCATCATATCCACCCTTTCACCAATCTCGAGTGGTATTGATGTATTTGCACTTGCTTATAGGGGCAGCTCTTTGACTATTGATCTCCAATGTTGCCTTCTCAATCAACAGGCACTTGTGCAGGGATTATTGTAGGATTTCATGCATTGAGGTCTTGTAGTATACCTTAGTCACATTTGTTTACTAAGATCAGTGTATTTCATCTAACGTTGAGTCACTATTGACCGCACAGATGTCTTGTAGTTTGAGTTCCCTTTTGTGTGATTCAAGCTTTGTTCCTTGCATGCGTTTGAATCCGAGTTAAGTTTCATTTAGAATCGGGTTCATCGAGTCTACAACCCCCACTTAATGTTGTATGGCACGAATTCAAGTGCGAGTTCGGTTTCTTTGCCCGGATCAAATGCAAGACTGAATCCCTTCTTGTTCTTGACGACTCAAGTTCTCGTATCATTCATGTCAAGTTTGAACCCAATTTGAGCTTAACATACAAGTTCACCTGCAAGTTGACTGGCTTTGGTAGCAAAATCTTCGTCATTTGATTCAAATTTAGTACTTATATAAGTCCGTTTGTTACTTTATTTTTCTTAAATGTAATTGCTTGTTCAAGCTCAAATCCAGTCCGAATCAAAGTCTTTGTTTGATGTACTAGTCTGGTTCAAGTCCCCTGCAGTCCTTTAAGTTCAATTGCATGTTCATATTATGTTCAAAGTCCTCTGGAGATCTTTTGATTTCAATTGAATACTCGATTTGGCTTGAATTTTGGTTCCAATCTAATTTTATTTCACTTGTATTCGGCCTTTTATCAGTCATTTGGGTTCTGTTCAAGTTCAAGTCCATAGTCCACAAGTCCTCTGTTCTTGTTCGAGTACAAGTCCTTGCTTAATGTCATATAGTCTGAGTTCGAGTACGAGTTCAGAATCTTTGGTTCAGGATCATCAGAAGTTCTTTGCAAGTTCAAATTGATTTTGATTTTTCTTAATCATTTGAGTTTCGTTCTGAATTAGGTCCCGAGTCCACCGTTCTTGTTCAAAAGTTCCCTGCTCTTTCTCATCTGGTCCAAATCTTTTGTTTTTTTGAGTTCAAAATAGGTCCGAGTGTAGTAATATTTCACCCGAAATTTCGGCAGCCTCTCGGCATCTCCCCCGTTTAGGGGAAAACAACGAGAAAACTGGGCATTCCCACCACGCTCAATAAAGGCGTGCATGGTAGGTGCTCTCTTTCGAGGACACCGCAGCCGTAACTTTTCTTCCCATCACGCGCAATAAAGGCGTGAATGGGTACTTTGACGGTACCTGTTACAAGAAAAGAGCAGTTTGCTTTCCCCCCGCCCGGGGGTACTTATGAATTGTTCCGGCCGCACAAAGAAAAGGGTACACCAGGCTCGCCTGGCCTCGTCGTGTGCGTCGAACCGGTTTCCCTCCTACCACGCTCGTATTAATTAATTAATTATAATTAATTAATTAATTATAATCATTTCTAATTAATTATATTTATTAATTGTTAATTAAAATTAATTAG